CAGCATTTATCAGCCAAAGTATCTAGTATAACATCTAAGCTCTCCTCTTTTGAACCCTTTGTCTCTTCTTGAGAAGATGGATACAGATACCAACAAGAAGATATATTCTCTAATATTTTGGAACAAAAGAAAATGAAACAGGATATATGTATAGAGAATTTCCGTTGGATAAAAGAAGAAAGATTTTTCTATTTACAAGATAATTAAATAGAACATGTATATCTATATCTTTTTTTTTGGAAAAAATATATATCTATATCTTTTCTTACAAATAAGAGAAGTAATCCAAGATAACACGGATAGAGGAAAGAAAGAACATTATTAACCTATAATTGAAAAAGTTCAACCACAGTGCAAAGCGTAAGTTGGTAAAAAGTAATAATTGGTATCTAACAGCATCATAGTTGCACCGGCAGCACTGCCAACATGTTCCTACTGTTGTGTTTTACAATGAAAATGGACAAACTACCTTACCATATTAGCCTTCAGAAGAGTAGTATATATGGTTTCAAGTTCAGATCTACGCGAGTCAAACTCTTCAATCTTCTTCCACTTCTTTCTTAATGAATCTTCAGCTTCTTTCCTCTCTGCACACAATTTATTCAACCGCTGTATTTCAGACATTAATGTATTTAGGCTTGCCTTTAACCCAGCAGCCTCTCTCTCCTTGGCCCAAACCTCCAACTGAAAGAGGAAATTAACCGTACAATATAGCATGAGTAAATAAACATCAAGATGAAAGGTGTCAATAAAAACATCTAATCACACATGTTTTCTTGGAAAATCTAGTAATTCATAACCTTAAGAATCACCTCAAATTGTCTAAGACTGCCAACATTCTGTGTTGCAGCTCCAACAAGAGAGCGTGAAGGAACTAAATCACTACCTCCTTGTAGACGTTTTATAAGCTTTTGACACAAGTCCCTAGCTTCTGTAGCTTTGTTGAGAGCATCTTCAGTGGCTAAAAATTGTTGAACATGTGCTTTCTGCAAACAAATATGTATTTATAAATCAAACCACAAAAGGATGACTTAGCATAATCAACATAAGAAAACAGTGGAGTTAACAATGTTGATCCCAGCCAACAAGCATTCATTCAACTTAAAAGAAAATGCCACTAGTTTCATAATCCTCTTAACAAAAGCATTGTCAGATACAAGTAAAAGAGTAAATTTGTATAAGTTGAACTCTCAAAAGGAAACGAGACCTGTCATTCAAGAAGTTGATCATCCATTGCTATCTTCCCATTACCATAAAGTTGATAGTTTAAGGGTGAGCTCGCATCTTGAGCGGAAACATCCATAACTCTGTTGTTCTCATATTTGTACCTGATAAATATATAACTTTTTATTCAATGCAAGGTGCATTCAAACCAAACAAGCAACCAAGAAATTTAACTAAAAGATATTTGCATGAACAAAAAAAAAAACGTTTTAATATGGATATAACCAAAAAATATAGTTTTGGCCTCTCATAAATTGAAAAATAAAAATTTATAGGAAAAAAAAGATACTAGGAGTCTGCATGCCAACAACTTTCAACAACATATTCCAGACACAATGCAGAGACATTCTCAAATGCCTGACCATAAAGAAACTAGAAGCTAAAGATACTTAAAGAATAGAAGCTTTTACATAGAGAAGATATAGTTTGCAACCAAAACAGAACCCAAGCATGTCACTCACTAAAAATGAGACAGCTATAACAATGTGACTATAAAAGTTAACCTAGTAGTAGCAGCATTATGATATTTCTTTTTGGCTTATTTACTGCATAATTTTCTTCGTTTTAAGAACAGTAGGATTAAATAAAAGGAATAACTAGACAAATTGTAGTATTTTCTGTGCAACAATAAAGCAAGCAAATAGTTGCTAAGAAGCAAATTGCAGATGTAAGATTCTAAACAACAGTACACAGACAAAAACAGTTAATTATATGTGACCATACAGCTTAGACAAAGCTTGATAAGTAGAAGGAAATCCAACAAAGCTTATCTCAAATCCTATAACCACCAACAAGAAGGACACGAAAATAAAAGCCTACCTTAAGGTTTCAGCATCAGCTCTAACGTCAACTTTCTCTATTTCTCTAGAAATCAGGATTTTAAGCCTTGAAGTGTGTGTGGTAATTGACTGAAGTAATTGAGGAGGATTTTTTAGGCAATTTACAATAACAGTGCTAGTGTCATCAGGTATCTCCTCATCGAAATAAAAGCCTAATTTGGTAGCTTCTGGTTGAGGACTCAGATGGATCCCATTTCCTTCATATGCTGGAAAAGAATTTCGCACTTTTTCAATCATGCGTTCGGCAAGAGTTTCACATGCCTTTCGAATGTTTCTTTCCCGAGTTGTTTCAATAAGAATGACATCATCTGCTGCTTTAGTTCCTTTAACAGTTGAATATACAGCTTCCTTCTCACTGTTTCCGCCATAGTTGCTAACTACTTCAATAGAAGAATCAACACTTGATCTTTGAGCATCCCTCGCTTGATTTACATATTGATGAAGACGTTTGTGGTACTCTGCAAATATTTTTGCAGCCTCATCGCATTGTTGATCATAAGCTTCCAACAACACTTGTTTGTGCCTAGAGTACAATAAGGTATGTAATAACACAGGATATGAAAACGAGATTTGACGAGAAAACGAAATACATCTAGTAACTTCAGCTTTCAAGCAAGCTAAGGTCATTCTTAGTTTTATCATAACAAAAAAAATAATGTCTAGAATCAATGCTTAGATTAACAAAATGCACATCCAGTCCTCATTTATTCATTAAAATACATAAACCTACTATCAATCATTTATTTATTGTAAACTAATATAGCTCAAATGCAGCTTGACAATAGAGCATATGGTCACCCAAGTCCATAATAAACAGCATATCCACAAGATCAAAAAAGATAAACAATGTGATCTTGATCATCTTGGAAGAACAAGGATAAAGAAAATAATAGAGATAGTTGATTTCAAAAATCCAAACAAAGTACACGATAAACAAAAAAAGATGGTCCATAACTCTAGAAACACAATGAATCTAGTTAGCATTAAAGGTTTAGTTTCATCTTCTGCCTCCATAATGACGTTAAAATGCCACAAATTATAAGAAAAATCCTAAAGAATAATGAAACCCGATGTCGTGAAATGTAGCTATTAGATAAATTCGAACTGAATCGACTATTTATTGGTGAGCAGTTAAAATTAATTAGGAAAATGCTAAGGCATTTTTCAATTCTAAAACAAAGTGGGGGGGGGGGCATTAAAATTGAGGAGCAAAAAACCTGTAATTGGCCCTTTCGTCAAGCATTCTTTTCCTTTCTGCTTCCTCTCTAGAAACCTCTAACATCCTACCCTTCAAATCTTTCCTTTGTCTCCTCACAATATGCTTCAACCTCTCCACTTCCTTGGCAGCGGCTTCCCGTTCTCTTATCGCTGCTTCCCAAATTTCCGCCGCACCTGAACCCTCCCCTCCACCAATACCACCAGAACCAGCCGCCTTCTCTTTCCTCCTCCCTCCTCCTCCTTTACTCCTCCCCTCCTCTTGCCCCAAATTTCCAACACTCTCACTCTTTCCCCCCTTCTCCGTGCACGGTGATGTTCTTCCGGATATTTTGGACGGTTTTCTCGGATTTAACGCGGGTTAACAAGAAATGCCAAAGGGGTAACATATTTCCTCTACAAATCATGCGAAGCGAATCGATTGAAGGTAAATTCGACTTGTTGGAAGAAGAATTGTAGGGTCCTAAGGGGCGGTAAACCATTTCCTTTTGAAGCCATTCCAGTATAACTTCTGGCTGCACATTTGAGCTCTGCATTTTGGATTCAATTCCAACAAATCCTTCCCCGCAAATAAGAAAGAAATTGTGGACTAAACTAACATTAGGGATTTTCAAATGAAAATCAGATTCAGCTTTTAAAAAAGGAAAGGTATTTTGATAGATCTGAGAATGAGAAAGCCAATTTGACCGGCAAAAGTGAAGAGGAAGACTGTAAACGAAGCTGGTAGAATGGCAGTATTGTAATTTCGGGAACTTTTCTAACCTTTTTTTAGAGAACAATTTAAGAAAAAGTAAGTTTTAAATTAAAGTCCCGCTTGCTTCATACGGTAGCGTTTCTGTATTTTTTTCATTTAATTGTTCAAATTTAAAATGTTAATATAATAAATCCAAATTTAAAATATTAAATGAAAATTTGATTTTATGTGAATTTAATCACGAAGATTAAAATTCAAATTTAACCCAAATTAAAATATTAATATAATAAATGTATTAAAAATATTAATATAATAACAAAATTTATTTTATATTTAATTTATATTTTAAAATATATTTTTAAATATTAACATAAATATCCTAAAGCTGGAATTTCGGATATAATATCATTATCTCCCTTTTCTTAGGTATTGTTGGATTACCGGTATTTTGGACTAAAATGCCCTTATTTTTTTTTTCAAAAATATTATTCTTCTGTCATTAAATAATAAAAATTCTACGAAAGTTAAATTATAAATTTATCTTTAAACTATTTTAGATTTACAAAAAAAATTATAATTAAAATTTTATATAAAATTTTTATATGAAATTCAGGGATTAAAATAAAATTTTAACATTTTATAAAAAAATTATATAAATTTTATGAATTTACAAATTTTAAAAAATATATATAAATATTTTCTAATTTGTTAAAAAAACAAATATATAATAAGGACAATTTGGTCAAATATACATTTTAATAATCTTTTATTCTTTTAACCAAATACGATAATCTTGCATTCCTATTAAATTAACTAAACACAAAATATAAAATTCTCAATAATCTTATTTTTTGATAATATTACTATTTTTATTTATAATATTATATTTTGTGAACTAAAATATCAGCTCATCAAATGCACTTCACATTTGTTTAGCTGTCTCTGTCACTATCTCTTTCATTTTTTCCCCTAACTTTTCCTATCTTTTTAGTAAGTTTATATTTTCGAGATTCCCGGAGCTCTCTTTGGTTTGGTTCACTGTTCTTCTTACCTTCACCCACTCCCAATTAAATAAGTATTTATGTATGTATATATAATATAATAAAATAAAATTCTTCGCGCTGTCACTCAGCTGAATTTCCATCCAGGTAACTTATTTTATGTTCATCAGTATAAGATGTTTAACCGTGTCCTATTGGGATAATCTGAATTGGGATTTTTTCATTTTTTTTCAGTCCATGCATGTTTTGGACCAAAATCTGTGCTTTTATGTTGATTTCTTTTTTCTGCTTTCATTTTAGATGACCAAATTGGGTTCGCTTTACTTGATTGATCCAAGCTTGTTTCTGGGTTGATCTTTAGGTTTTTGATGGACTTTTTGGTGTTGATTTGATGAAAACCTAAATATTTGAATGGTCAAGTTGTATGTTTCTTATTCTGCTGATTTAAAGAGAAATATTTTTCACGTGTAACATTTAATTCCCAAATTGATCGTGATTTTTCTGTCGATATTTCCAATTTCCACTTCTTAATATTAAAGAAAAGAACCTTTTTTCTCATTACGATTAAAGCCTTAAAAGATGGCTATTACTTTCCCCATAACCAAAAAAGGAAGACATGTAATTCTTTGAAGTAGTTTTTCCTTTACTTCAAAAGGAAAGCTCTTTGGCTTCTTATTAGTGGCATTGTGAACTTGCTATGAAGATTGTTTTGCTGGTTCAGCTATTCACAAAATTGGCTCACATATGGTGACTCGTTAGGTTTATGTTATCTACAAAATTGACATTAGTATTTTTATTTTTTATTTTACAGCTGAAGATAGCTATTTAGCTAAATTTTACACGGCCATTCAGCATATTGTAAATAGAATAGAAGGAGTTCTGGTTGGTACAAGTGCCCGGGACTTCTGCGAGTTCGGTGTCCTCTCACATTGCCTTTTTTAGCTTCGAGAACTTTGATCTTGATGTATATGTATAACTAGAACGATTGAGCCATATTGATGAAGTTGTGTTGCGTAAAGAGTTTTAACTGAAGGGGAAAGCTTAAAAGTTCACATTATGGGTTCAGTTTGTTGCTGCTTGCATGCTGAGGATTTTGAAGACTACATGAATTCAAACAATAATATTTATAGAAACTGTTTGTGCATCGGTTGCTTCTTTCAGAATTTTATACAAATGGTATGTTTTCTGATACTTGTCAGTAAGCATTGGTTTGGGCTCCAGTATTGTTTCTTCAAATAATAGTATTTTCATGTCTCACTCGAGGTTATAAAAGTGGTTGTTCTATTGATTATTTCTTTCGTGCCACTTTTATGTTGTTAAAAATTAGGGTTATCATTGGAAATATAACTCTTCTATCTTTTCTCTTTGTGGCACATGTAAGTGGCACTAGCCTATTATGTCCACAATAATTTTGCATAGAGCATTGTAATAATTTACTAAAGATAAATCTCTATTGTTAATGCAGGCAAAGTCCTTTGTTAACTTTTTTACTGAGCCCCATGCTTATATTTTTGTGGAAGCCTTGGAGAGGGTTAGGGAGGGATGAGGTTTGGTGAATGAAGGAAGCTGAAAGAATGAATATAAAGTAGGAGTGGCTAATATGTAGACAAATTTCCCTAAGCCGGGGAAAGTTCCTTTATGGTTTACAATGTGTGTAGGGCTTTGGTAGTCTAGTTCATGTTTATGCAATAAAATGGAATAAGATAATTAACATGTCAGTGACTCAGTGCCTAAAGACTGTTTTGCTTAAAGAACTATCTTTATAGGCTCTTGGAGCAAGTGAAATCTGCTTACAATGTGAATACCTGAGTTCTTGATCTAGCAAATTCCATCAGCATTGACCTATATTGACTTTTTGGTGAACAGATATCTATTGAAGTCAATCATGGACCATGTACTAACCTAATCTTGAAAATTATCACTTGATCGTTTACATTCTGAATTCTGTGTTTGATTAATATTAAGAAAAGGAGGTTGACCGGAAATGTGCTTGGTATTACATCTTACATTTCTCTGAATTGATCAGAACTTTATCCTCAAATATTTCAGTGATGGAGTTTCAAATTTTTTGTCCTTATGTTGTTTCTTTGGTCCCTGTAATTATAGTGTACAACATTATTGCAACGAGGAGAGCTGCACTCTGTCCCTTCATCCATTCAGGGAACAGCATCTATGAACTCTTCTGTATCACTAGACAACTCACTTTCTGACATGTACTGTTCTACCCCAAGGCCCTTTCCTTGTGATGTTGATACCAGATATTTTCGCTTACAACGTGATGGTCTTGTTTCAAGACGTGAGAAGGGTTCAAGTCATTCACAAGAGGAATCAGAGCCTTTAAGAGGTGAAGATGATGTAGGTTCTGATTCTTTGAGTAGAGGGGGAAAATGGAATGCTTGTGAACAAGGCTCAATTGAGCAGCATTCTAAATCCTCACAACTGACATCAACAAAAACATCAGTTGGAATTGGGTACATCTATTCAACAGTAGAAGAGGAGGATGTCTGCCCAACATGTCTGGAAGGTAAGTTATCTATCTTGACAATGATGATGTTCTAGGCACTATATTATGCTATGAAATATTGTTACTAGAGATCATAGCCAATCTGCTATGATGCTGCAATGATGGCCGATGTGCATTTCTTGGCATGCGTCAATACCATCTTGGACTCTTACCCACTTATATCTATTTTGTGCTTTTGTGAACCTGGTTGGGTGTTCAGTCAATTTTCAGGCATGTTGTTTCATTTTCCCATCTTGTGTTTGCATTTGCTTGAACCTAAATTAGAAAATTTTATCACCTTGGAATTACAAAGAATGGATTTTACTTTCATTCCACATAAAAGGGAAAATGATGCTTGTTGCCATAATAGTTTGTCAAGAATATTGGGGTTTTCGCTTATTCGCCTTCGGAAGTTTGTAGCACTCAGCAATATCAATTCATGCCACCGTTGATTTGTGTCTTCCTCTCTCCCCTTCAACAAGGTTTCATAAATGATTGGTTGAATAGACCAAGTTTTCTAGAACTCATAATGGATGCCTTGTAATGCCAAGTTTCTGCTATATGTTTCTATCAAAAAAAGTTTCGGCTATATATTGCTTCTCTAACCTGGGTGCTTGTGTCATTAATTGGACCAGATGCTTGTGATTGAGTATTAAGAAATCCTGATTTAATTAGAGGAATCAGTCCTTTAGTCTTATACTAAGTCCTTTATATTAGAAACAATCAGTCAATCACTGCTATCAGAAACTGATAATGTCGCAAATCATATTAGGTTGGACTTTTTATAGATATATTATCCTTATTTAAACATATTGTTATAATTTATGTGCAGAATATACTCCAGAGAATCCGAAGATAATAACAAAATGTTCCCACCATTTCCATCTTGGTTGCATTTATGAATGGATGGAGAGAAGTGAACATTGTCCAGTCTGTGGGAAGGTAACCTGTTTTCGGCTAAATGATAATAGATGACTCATCAATAATCGTGCTGTTTACATTTTATTTTTATACCGCTTTAATCAGCAATTCTTTTCTTTCTAGAATTCCGATTTTACTAGGATCTACAAGCCTTCAAGGTTTACAAGTACTAGCATCTTAATTTGCCTTTGATATGTTCTAAATTTTGTGCCTTGCTCTCTTCTTTTACAAGTATCTGCATAAGATTTTTCATTGGTTTGTTTATCAACGCTCACGCACATTAATGGTTATTTGGTGTATGATTTTGTGTAGCTTTTCAACTAGTACTCATCTAATGGAATTGACATGTTTGGATGTTCAATGATAATTACTTCTCTTGTAAAACAATATAAACACTTGTTTGGTTTGCAAGTATATGTCATTTTTAAAGATAATTCTGGGAAAACTCATGCATTTTTCCCCTGTTTTTTTGGTTTACTTGGCTTTTCACCTTGGAATCGACTGGCAAATATCCTAGTTTCTTAAACTTTTCTTATCTCAACTTTGTATTTGTTTTGTTTGCTTTTCCAGGTGAAACAACTTAATCTTGCTTGGAAGTTTTTGTTGCAGATGAACGTCAACGACAACAACAGAAGATAGAACCAAGGAAAGACAACTCCTTTGTGAATAATTCAGGACAAGGTGATTGTCTCATACCATAAATATGAAAAGTGTCTTGTATAAAGATTTTAATTTAATTGTCTTTGTAACCCGGGAAGTGTTTTTTTTTTTTGGGGGGGGGGGGGGGAAGAAACCATATGGATGATTGCATTATTGTTGGGTAACTAAGTGTGGATTGTTTATATATATATATATATAAAGGAGGTTGGGTTGGGTAGTTGGATTCAGATTTGGATCTTGGATATGCTCTTACGGAACATGTTAATTTTCTTAAAAAGTTCAGTCATTTTGTATTTGTTACACAAATACTTCAAGATAAAACTCTAAGAACATAGGTTCCATCATTAACAAATGCGAGTTTATTAAATGGTCAATTTAATAAACTCACATTTGTTACTCAAAATGGTGAAACAAAAAGTGAAACTTGAGGCAAATCGAATCATGGCAATAGGGAGTTCAAAGAATATGGTAAGACCTTGGTCATACGAGCTCGAGATCCAAACTTCCTCTCAAAGTATTCTTCTCATAAATTTTTTTATTTCTATAAAAGGATGAACACAGTCTTTTCAATTTTTAATCGCTTATGTTTAAGACGGTGCAATGATTTTAATAAATTTATTTATAAAACTTAAATTTTGCAACGATACAAACTCATCTCTTTTGTTTTAGCTTAAAGAAATAATATGATAGAACATGATTTATTCAGTGTACTGAATGAAAGTTTTTAACTTCGAAAAATTAAGAACTCGTCATCTTTGTCATTTTTCTTAATATAATAATCTAATAATCTATGTTAAAAACTATGTGAATTACCACAAGCTTCCTACACAACCATAATCTTTCCACTTTGTTCATAATGACTGTCTAAAATTGGATGGCAGACATGTTAACAAGCAGCTGAGCCATGGAAGAATAACTTTACTCCATCACCCAAAAAAGTGTAGGCAAGAACAACAGTGCTTAACTAGTGTCAAAGCAAGAAAGGAACACAATTTTAATTATATAAAGCTTTTTGTCAAGTCTTCCATTGTTATATATAAAGAAGCTTAATTACAAGCCTCTTGTCTTACCAGCAAATTCAGTCACTGCGGTAGAGTTTTATGTCAATGCAGGATATTATGCATATATGCACTTGAAACCATTTTTACACACTTCCAGCGAGAAGAAGCATTTTTAGCTACTAGAGTTTATGATCATTTTAACCAATATTGGTGAAACCAAAAATTTAGAGCATCCATCCATGGATAAAGCCATTGACTTGATGAGCATGAGTTGTTGCAGCCATCTGGTCTGAAGCTACAGGGTTGCAGTACCTGCAGCAGGAAACAAGATTTAAGAGATTAAGAACAGGGATATGCTTATGATACTCAAACATCCATGTCCGAATATGTAAAGAATAAAGGAGTTGAAACACTACCCTATCTGCAAAGTAGGGTTGCATTCCAATGGCTGATATAACCCCATAGATTGAGCCTGCTGGTTACTGAATGATACACTTTGCTCACCACCTTCCCATGTTGCTCGAAACTGATTTCTGGCATTAGTTTCTTCAAGCTGTACAACACAAGAAAACTCTTCAGCCGATGAAATGGCAACTATAGGGATATGAAGAAACAGTCAGACGAAGGCCAAACAGAGATTGTCAAGTACAATGAATTAAAAAGAGCAATGGTAAAGAATAGTTGGCTACTTATTTTAAACCCAAAGTAACTCGTCACCTCCATACGACGAGTTCAAGATTTTATATTTTTTAAATTTTTGATAAAAAATACTACAAATTAAAAAAATTAATATTATTTTAATAGAACTCGTCTCATATATGATGATAATCTCAACAATATCCGTGCTACTATTCATCCATTCCAAGGGAAGACTGACCCGGAAGCATATATAGATTGAGAAACCAAGGTAGAACATGTTTTCGGATGTCATAACTACCAAAAGTACTACTCCCTCCATCCCATAATTTGTGTTTGATATTGACTATGCACATAATGTTTTGTAAACTAAACTATTGTTTTCACTATCATTAGGTGGGTATGATTGGAGTAAGTGTTTCAGCATAGTCTATGACTAATAAGACCTTACCAGCACACACCTCTGCTTTGTACATAGGCTATTCATCTCTTTTTCATGATATCCACAGCTTCACATTCATATTGGATCTTATGGGAGTCTAAGTATCAAATCTTTAATATGGATAGTGAGAAAGTAAAATATGGTTTGTTGGTCCCATAGGAGAGCAAGTAATTAAAATGATCCAATCCAACGTACAAGCTGCTTAGGGTCACTCATATACTATGTTACCTAGAAGTTCAGCTATGCAGATTTAATTTGTAAAATTCTTCATCACCATAATATCAACTTCAGCTCGTAACTTTTATCAGCTTACAATGTTTCCATGGAATACAAACTCTTATGTTACTTGCACTCGGGTATTGTGTAACAACCCGATTTTCAAAATAATATTTAATTGAAATTTTAGAGGTTAATTGTGAAAATTGGTAAATTGTTGGTGACTAAATCAAAATTTATGAGAGTTTATAGGCCATTTTAGAAGTGAAGAAAATCCAAGGACCAAGCCTTGAATTTACCCTAAAACTGTCGGCAGCTTTGATTATAAGCGTGCATATGGTTCTGATTTTCAGAACCAAAAGGCTTCCAATTTTCCTTTCCCATACGCAGTTTCCAACTCCGATTCCGACGCCGTCCAAATTCCGATCATCGTTTTAAACCCACCGTTGTGTTCATCATCGAGCGAGGAACAAACCCTTCAAATTAATTGAAGCGAAACGCGGCCAAACGTCGGGAATTTCCAGTCAAAGTAGCGACGGTTTTGTTAGCTCTATCGCCGAGGAAATCTTAAATTCACCGCTGATCGTTGCTCCGTTTACGACACCTCCCGCACCATCGTGTTCCTTGTGCCGTTCCGAGTTCACCGGTGTCAACCTTGTCCGCCGTAGACGGCGGCGCGTGAGGAGGTGGTGCAGTCAAAGATTCGGCCGATTTGAAATCGAGCTCTCCGCCGTTCAAAAATTTGAACCGATCGTTGTAAGTATCTTGAAATCGCTCAAAATAATTTTTAGAAATTTTTCCGGGATTTTTAGGGCCCCGGAGGACGCCTCACGCGCCACACGCGCCGCCGCAGGGCGAGTGGCTGCTGGAAACCGGTTTAACCGGTTTTCAACCGGTTCTGACCGGTTTGACCGGTTTCAACCGGTTCGAACCGGTTTGACCGGTCTGACTCGGTTTGACCGGTCTGACCCGACCCGACCGTTGACCCGACCCGACCCGACCGTTGACCCGACCCGACCCGACCGTTGACCGTTGACCGTTGACCGTTGACCGTTGACTTTCTTTGACCAAAACTTAAAATGGCTTTGACCGAGCATTAAACGACCGTTAATCTTTTCCGAGTATACCTATCCTGATAGTTTTCGACGTGCCGAATCCGTTTCCGTGGTCTGTTTTGTCAAATTCGAATCCGAAGGTCTCCAAATCTACGGTCAAAGTGGTTGACTTTGACTTTGACCAAGAATTTGAATTTTCAAAAAGTCATACTTTATGTTTTTCGACGTCCTGATTCCGATTCCGTAATCCGTTTGGCCAAATTCAGACTCGAAATACCTCAAATTGATAGTCAAACCCGAAAAATGCGTATATACTTAAGAAGTTTAGCTTTGAACAATTAAATAGGATTTGAGACTGATAAATATTATTGTTTGAAGGTACAAGAGACTCTCCGGATCGTTCGACAGCTCGACCCAGCTCTTCTAGATCAGTTAAACCACGTGTGCCAGTATTTACCCGTTCGAAAACTGTAGCAGAGCGTGGTGAAACCAGCAATCAGTAGATTTGTTATTTGAATCTATTGTCGAGGTGTGTTCCCTACTTATTATTGAACTGTTTTATTGGTTTTAATATGTGGTACACCGAATTCATTGGCTATTGTTTTATGGATGCACCAATTTAATGTGACAATTTATGGAATATGGCTGCTATCTAATTTTTGTTTTGAAATGGTATATGATTACCATGTTTTTGGATTTATGGAATTTATGTCACGGTGCAATTGAATTTTGGAATTGAAATACGATGGAATAGCTCTGATCAAGCTAATTGGGCCTAATGTGACTCTTGAGGGCCCCAAGATGTTTCATTAGGTCGGCTTTCCTTTGCTGTGTGCTTAGGGTAAGCTATATGGACTTATTGACTTGGGCTTAAGGATACAAGCTTCAGAGCCTATCCTTAAGTCGGCTTTCTTTTTGCTATGTGCATAAAGTAAGCTATATGGAAATTAATTTTGGGAACTACTGATGGTGTACCAGAAAAGGGTTTAAACTATGATTTTCAAAAAGTTAAACTCTGTTACGAATTTGTGAGATTTCTGGACTATGATTTGTACCTATTGTGATTTTATGGAAATGTTGGGACACACTGAGCCTAGCTCACCTTTTGAAAATGTTTTCCCCTTTCAGATACTGTTGGGTAGATACCTTGGTTCGAGCACTTGGAGGATCAACATATCTCTTGAAGTAAATCAGATTGTAATGTTTTTATCTGGCAAGTTTACTTTATTTTGGTGACATGGACCTTATTTTAAAATATCGGATTTTATAATGATAACACTTTTGCTACTACTGCTCGGTTTATTGTGATTTTGAATTTGAAGACATGTTTTAAATTAAATTATTATTTATTTGTACTATATTTACGAGTTGGTTTTTGATAGTATAAATTGTTTATAATTTCATGTTTTTATAATGTGATTTTATATTGATGGAATAACGGTTGCGAAAAATGTCTTTAATAATTATAATGTGATCCACTAGACTTAGTCGAAACGCATAGGCCGGGTCTAGGGGGTTACATTTATTGGTATCAGAGCTTTTGGTTTTTAACCCTCGGACTGTGTATGAGTCCACATTGAAAATACGGTTTTGAAATATTTTACAAAACGAGTTACTAAGGCCATGTCACAAAGTTATTAAGATTTTAACTATGTTTGAGACTCCAAGTGCTTATCTAACCCTAAGTTTTATCTTCTGTAGTAAACTTGAGATCCATCAAAATGAGTGCTAGACGTGGTCGTCGAACTAGCCGTGGACGAGGTCGAGTGGCTAGATTTGCAGATCCGATC